CTCTCACCTCGTTTTCAACGAGCCGCAAGTCTCAGCCAGAGAGCGTTTTGCAGTTGAGACCCTCTGCAGATCTCAATGCAACACAAAGTAAAGCTTCAAACCACACAGCTGGTGTTCCAAACCGAACGCTGTCTATCAATTTAAGTTACACAACATCCCCATTGATCTTCACAAACTCAGGCGCTGCAACAACTCAGGTCTTGTATTTCACAGGCAATCATTTGACGAAAGAGAGTTCTTCCCTTCTGGTCGCTCCTTCTACTACAGCACAAACAAGCTTTACCCCCGTGAATGGTATCACCCCAACTCAACAAAAGTCTTCATCTTCACGAGTATTACAGATACAGTCTTCTTCCCAGTCGGGACAGGGGAACATCGACGCAGGAACAACCGCCGTCCCACATGTACAAAACACTCTCATCTCGTTTTCAACGAGCCGCAAGTCCCAGCCACAGAGTATTTTGCAGTCGGCACCCTCTGCAGATCTCAATGCAACACAAAGTAAAGCCTCAAGTTACACAACTGGTATTCCAAACCGAAAGCTGTCTATTAATTCAAGTTACGCAACGTCGACGATGATCTTCTCAAACACAGGCGCCACCACAACTCAAGCCGTGTACTTCACAAGCAATCATTTGACGAAAGAGAGTTCTTCCCTTCTGGCCGCTCCTTTAACTACAGCACAAGCAAGCTCTCCCTCTGTGAACGGTATCACCCCAACTAAACTAAAGTCACCATCTTTAAGTGTGTTACAGAGACCACTGTCTTCCCGGTGGGGACAAACAATACAATTGTTATCTACGACATTAAACCGAAAGCTGTCTATCAATTCAAGTTACGGAACGTCGCTGATAATCTTCAAAAACTCGGGCTCCGCTACAACTCAAGCTACGTATTTCAGAAGCGATCATTCGACGAAAGAGAGTTCTTTACTTCTGGTCGCTCCTACAACTACAGCTTCTTCCACAAAGCTGACCTCGACAATCTCAGGTATTAACTCCAGTAGGTAGGAGACAATTCTGACATGGATAAAACCCTACCAAACCTTCATAATCAAGTATTGTCTGGTGTGTCAGACTCTTACAACTGTTGGCGCCCTTCTTGTCCTCTACGTTGAAGAGAGGTACCGTGGGGGAGGGGGTATGCATTATGTGCATAATAACCGATAACAAACAGAAAATAGCATAGTTACCCCAGTTCAAGGGCATCATTTGCACGCCACTGCGCTTCTCTACGGCAAAAAGCTATCACACAAGGGTGTACACCAGAGTTTTCTGTGAGGGTGTGCTACACTTAAGACCAATTGGCAAGTTAAGACACGCCGGGATGATTTTCTCGAGAAAGGAGCAAGTCACATGCCTCCTCATGCCCCTACCTCACCTCCTTCTTCCCCTCCCCTTAGTTAAGCCCATACACAACAAAAAAACAAGCCAAACTGAAGGTTGTTCGCCGCTTTGAGGTAGAAAACAGGTCAAACTTGTTTTGTCTTGTAAAGTTTCAGTATCGCTTAACTGGACAGACTGGTCCGTGGACTCAAGTGACTGTCAGCGGCACTGTTCAAATGTGGGAGGAACTGTGACTGCGAGTCGTCATTGCTATTCTCATACAGTGACGTTCAAAGAAAGCATCTGTACCAAATACAGAACCTTAACTCAAGTGTTTAAATGTGGCCAACCACATTGTCCAATCTCAGGTTTGTTTGAGCTTCTTTTTTCCAGGATCTAGACTCAGTTCAGCGCAGTCAAACCTTACCTCGAGCTGGCACGTCACAAAGAGGAACTCACCACACAGACTTTTCGCAGACAATTATGCACGAGAGAGCCTGGAGATGGCTTAGGCTTGTTTACAATGGGATGATAATTTATTACTTCTCGTGCCCGACTCTCCCGCCTTTCGCAATAACACAGCAGATTTATGTTTGCCCAGAGTTGCTTTTTTGCGATTCTCTCACAATTACCTCCTCAATTAAGTTTCTGCTTTCCCTTTCCTCTCCCCTGTTTTCCGTATACTCCCCTCTACTATTCACCAGGGCTCCCGCTCTCCTGCCCCCATCTACAAATGCTACCAGTCGTTCAAACTGTAGAAGGCCGCTCAAAAATTACATAGTCAATTACATCTACCTTTTCAGCCTAGGCTTAAATAGAAATAAAAAGAAGTACATAGCGTTAAGAATCGTCTAAAAATGTGAATAGTTCTGGACCCATTCGAACGGGAAAGAAAAAATTCAGAAAAAGGACTCATCAAGCTTAATTTCTACGTATTTGATTTTTGGTGGATTTCATGAAATTAAATCTTTATGTTTATTTTCACAGGAACAACATTGTTAGGATTGTCCATCTCAACAGTGCTAGTCGGGACTTTGCTTCATATGTAAGTTTCAACGTGACACTGTGATGATCTACCGTTTTGTAGCTTTAGGAGGCTTGACTTTGATCATGACGAGAGTTGCCCTCTCTAACTATACCATTTTCTTTCAACAGGTTGCCGAACTTTTTCGGGGGTTAAGATTTCAACGACCTTTATAAGGTCAACGTTTGTGTCTTGCTCTCTTAGCATGAGGGTATACTTTAAAGAGTGTGGGAGCGTCATGATCGCAGAGGCGTACACAAAATGTAGTTTAAATTTCTTAGACTATTTTAAGACCTCTAACGTTTATATTTATAGTATAGTATCAAGAGAATAGTCAAGAGATTATAAATATCTTGATAGTATAAATGTTTTATACACTTTATAAAAAAACGATGTAGTGCTAGATGGTACTTAGCAAGAAAAAAATAAGTTTTTACATTGAGTCAATAGTTACCGGGTTATTGTAACGTGCAAAAAGAGAAGAGAAAGCACCAAATCTACTTTTGTTAACCATCCCAATTCATGAAGAAAGGGAAACAATCATGTTCACTTCAACAGAAAAAAATGAGCCTTAGCTATGGACGGAACGTCTGAACATACGAGTATTCAATACTACGATGATTTCTCAAGGCCAGTTCACGTATATCAAACGTTAATGTCTCATTTTACCATAAGGATAAAGAGTGTAGGGATGCATTTTGACTAGCACATTGTAATACTCGGCACTGTCAGAAATTGATGTTTCACGGCGGTTTTTGTCTCTAAGGTTCAAACCGGTGTTCAGAAGCTTAACGATCATTAAATTCCATGTTCTTAGAGCGACGAATTTCTTCTCTGATCGAGTGCGACTTGCAGTCAGCTTACATAAATAGATTCTGCAACATCTACCACTCTAAGGACAACGATCTTGTTCGCCATCATGAGGGACTCTTGCATTCGTCTTTGATTCAGGAAACTAGTTCTTCTCAGCCATCGTCTCTAATGTTATAATTCCTCACTTTAATTTTCTTTTGAGCCAGCCTACCTTTGCCAGCAGCCTTTTTGGACAATTCTGGTCGCTGCTTTGAAGGTCTACTTTGAACTTCCGTTCGCCTTCCTTTTAGGGCGAACGAATCACGCTCGGGAGAGTCCCGCTCTGGAATATGATCAGGGTCCTGGTCCCTTGTGGCTTTAAGACGCTGAGGAGAGCTGGGGCGAACTCTCCTAGGAGTTGGACTACGGAAACTTTCTTCTTCGTCCAACATCTTCCAAATTTCTTGCAACGACGCTTGGCCTTCCGAAGATGACGTAAACAGTGGTTGATCGTAAACTGGCGAAGACGTCCACTGATTGGATGGTGGATGAGTCACATTACTATCCACTGGAGCACTGTCTTTCTTATTTGTATCACGAGATACTACATGTTGTGATTCCAATAGCACTGGTACTTTTCCATCTGCACAAAACATAAGTGACTGCATGAGACAAGCGCATATCTTGACTTTTTTACGAGAGGGTGAAAGAAGATAGGGCAAGTCGAAGAGGAGATAAAGTAAATGTTATGTTTTACCCGACATTTACAAGTAATATCGCAATCTGATTGGCCAATTTGCCGTTGTCGAAGAGAGTACAGACAACGCTGCTCGCGTCAACGTGTCACGCAACATGTCACACACTAACAGAATCGTTTCATTTGACTTCGATATTGTGGTAGCATTTTGTTGCAGACTCACACAGCTGCGCCTCGTGAGTCTACATCATTTTGACCACTGTGAAGACGAATATCGCTGTCAATAAGAGTACAGAACACGCAAAACCAGTGTCGATTTGCTAACTGAGTCACTGAATAGTTCTTTTGTGTTGATTGTGGTACAATAAAAGTCTTCATCACCCATAACGATTCGACTCCCTGACACGAGCCTTCCCCACACTGGATGTTCTACCACAGAGCTATTGGATATCGGGTTGATACCAGGCCTCATTTCAGCTTGATATCCTTTTAGCACGGTACTTAAATGAATTCTTACCATGATACGTTTCTATATATAATATTTACTATTAAGGATAAGGTGCATCTTAAAGAAAGAAAGAGAATATCCTCTCAAAATCACACAACATCGATTAAAAAATCTACACTCACCATCATTAGAATCACTTGAACTTGAGGCTACAGTGATTTTGACATGCTCAGCTGCTTGCTGTTCTTTTAGAGCCATACGCTGTGCAAACTGGAGCTCCTGAGAAGTGAGCTGGTATTGAAGGTTTTCCACAGCACCTAATTGGCTCTGTAAATGGTCCTTCATCTCACCTGGGGTCCTTCCGATAGGGGTCTTTCCTGAAGAGGCTTCAGTGACTAAGGGCTGAGGGGGCTGGCTGATTATACGGCCAAGGGGAGCGCTCTTTCGACCATCTGACAATTGCCAGAGAACGATTGAATGTATTTCAGTTTGGTTTAAATATTCACGTTGAGAAGATTGCTGAGATCAAGACGCTACATCCGGGACTATTAAGGCGAAAAATTGGGATTCCGAGAGAATCCACACGGCATGAATCACACACAGCTCATGGAACAACAGAAACAGTATGGATGTCGTCGACATGACAGTTGGGTAGCATGTCTGGGTGTGACATAGTGTGACTATACCAATGTCAGTATCTGTGTAACTGCGCGCCCACCCCTCCCCTAGCCCAACAACAGTCAACAGATATTAAGTCAGGGTTAATGTTGGGTAAGGAGGGGGGGGGGGGGGGTAGGTGCGGAGTTGCTCAGATACTGTCATGGATACGTGCAACTCCACGTGCCTTTGAAGAAATCCTAGTTAGGCACTTGGCATGAAGTGATCAGGAGTTTTGCCGCTCCCCCTTAATGCAGGAATCATGTTTCATCGCAGATTTCTTCTCGTCATTTCTTACTTTTTTCCTGATAAACTACTGGGGTCCGTTTAAACCCTTAAGTGGAGAGAGGCACTGTGAGAAAAAACTGTTTTGGCCGAGAAAACAGCCCAATGACCTGGGTAGGAGTCGACCCAGGCTCTCGTGTTCAAACCGCTAACCGTAACCACCTGGTCTCTTACAAACGTAGTCTTTTAACCCTTTAACCCCTAGGAATGACCAGCTTCTAATTTCTCCTTACAATATCACCCCTGAATCAAACATTAAGGTCACGAGAATCAAGGAAATGATTACCAACTCATAAAGCTCTTAATTTATAAACAAATTCTCCTTGTCAGTACTTCAGGAAATGTATAGAGAACAGTATGGATAATATGCATACTGATGTTAGGGTGTTAAGGGTTGATTTAACTTTAAAACCTTTCTGCACGAGAGAAAACTGATCATCTGTCCTCTTTCAAAAGATCATCTTAAGTTCTCTTCAACCAAAACTGATTTTTACGACGACAATTCAACGTCTCCAGCGTTTGTAGCATTCAGTCAAAAGGGATTATGAACAAACTTGAATGTTACCTGTATATTTTGCAAGCTCCGCTCTGAGCCTGTTTCCCATCTGAATAAGCTGTTCTTTCTCTTGAGACATTCGGCTGATGCGCCGCGCCGCCTCATGTAATTTGTTTTGTAGCCGCGCCATTTGAGATATTGACGGTCGATTAAGAGAAACTGGATCGAGGAAATCTTTGTCGCTTGTTTGAGCACCTGATTATAATAGGATGCAATATATGCTAATATTAAAGGCAGTTCTGTTTGTTTTATCAAAGCCTTATCAAGAAAAAGAGTTTGCTGAAAACCTACAACATTTAAAACGGAAACTACTAAAATAAACAAAAATCATTGTTCACTTGGAGAAGTAACTCTATAAACACGATTAGAAAAACACGCATGCACCCTCCTTACACCCCTCATCTCCAACTTGTAGCCCTCCATGGTTTGCCCAAGCCAGGTCGCATTGTAACCTTCAGACTGCTCGCAGGCCAGGTCGCATTGTAAACCTTAGACTGCTGGCATATCCTACCTGTTGTGAGTTGTTTCCTCAGTCGATGAATCTCATCTTGAAGTTGTTTAATGATTTCTGCCTGAGGATTGAATGACACAGCTCCTCTCCCTTGAGATGCAAGTTCGACTTTAAGACTTGACAGCTATTAGCAGAAACAAATTAGCAAAAATATCAACTGGCCACCGTAAAGCGTTTAAAGGTTGACGTTCCGAACGTTAGCCCTTCGTCAATCGCTCCGACGAAGGGCTAACGCGCGAAACGTCAGCCTTTAAACTCTTTACGGTGGCCAATTTACGCTTTCAACTCAGTTGATGAAACTAAATTACCCTGTTATACTCTCCCAATGACACAGTGTACCACAGTTTCTTTAGAAACCTACTCCCTTAAGCAAAAACATCGATAAGTTGAAGAAAAAGCAGCGACGATGGACGGGGGGAGGGGGAGTGGCAGAACTCGCAGTCGCGGATTGTACCATAAACATGAGTTACTTTGAGAAATTTGCGGCTTAACACTTTTAGTTATTTTCAAATCACCTGATTTCCTAAGGACGTTGCCTCAGCATTCCGTTCCAGCCCACTCCTGAAGTACTCATCCGCCTCTCTTCTTGTCTGGGTCAGTTGCAGCTCCAGCTCATTTGCGCGCTGTTTCAGAGCAGTCAGCTCATCAGTCGCTCGCCTGCTCTGTGTCGTAAGTTCGTACTGTAGCTGATCCATTGCTAACTGTTTCTGGCGAACCTGCCGAGAGACAAGAAAATGATCTGTTCAGCCACATCTTTGTGAAGGACACTGCACGAAGTTTTCGAACAGAAAGTTACTTCTAAGTTGAACATCATCTCAAGGAGGAGAGTTTAGTTGCAGAAAAATGACTGGAAATAAGCGGAGAGTGACTCTTAGAGCCTGGATCAAAGTAATGTCTATCTCGCAGAGGTCTTCACTGTTTTGAGTTACCTCCTCGTGCACTTGAGTCAGAGATCCCTGCAGATGATCCACAGTGCCTTGAAGTTTCTTCACTTGTGTTGACAGCTCCAGTTTTTCCTGGCGTAAAGCACCTGATCAACAACAACACAAATACGTACAGGTATTTCTAAGCTCTAGGAGAAAATAACACTGATTCTTAATGTGAAAGCGTGAATTATAACAATGTGCGTGAACATTAACAACGTTTATCATTTTAGGCTACCGTTGGAGGTAAGAGACGGAAAAAAAAAAAAAAAAAAAAAAAAAGAAAGCGACGGATTCCAGAAGTAAAGCTTCTGCAAAAATATATCAACGTAACGTAACTCAGCCACCGTAAAGAGTTTGAAAGCTGACGTTTCGAGCGTTAGCCCTTCGTCAATCGCTCTGACGAAGGGCGAACGCTTGAAACGTCAGCTTTCAAACTCTTTATGATGGCCAATTTAAGTTATCAACTCAGTTGATAATACTTAATTGTTCCGCAAAAATACTTAGCTGAAGCAATTATATCGCAGCCAGAGAAAAGTTGGGGTGGAATAAGCACAGGCAGAAAGATCTTGACATAAATTTCGATACACGAAAATGAATGGTATTTGCGCTTTCCTTGGCGTCGTGTTCCACTAGGAAATAACCTGTTGCAGTTTCTCGTCAAAGTAAAAGAGCGAAATAGTGGATGAAGAACGTTTGGTGGTTAAACTCACGCCATTTTTTGCCGCTTGCCTTTTGGCTCAGCACAAGTTTTCCAGCGAATTGTTGCATGGTGTTGCCCCAGCCTTAAGACAGTTAAGTTCTTACCAATTGTTCCATTGAGTTCCCTAATATGGGCTTGTATGAACGGATCTTGTGGCTGAACACCAGATACCGCTATTTGTGCACGACTACGAGGTTGGGCGGACTGTGGTTTCTCCTCAACTTGCTGTTTCAGTGTTCGGTTCTT